GTTTCTTGCAAACATCTTGTCATGTTTCCTACTTTCTGTTTTTCTTTGTAGATGCAGACGATAAAATGTGTAGTAGTAGGAGATGGGGCTGTAGGAAAGACGTGCTTACTGATCTCCTATACAACCAACAAGTTCCCCTCAGAATATGTGCCTACGGTAGGAGGAGGAATTAAGAAAGACTGAGCCATATTGTTGTAAACATGCTCACCTATAAAATTTCTGTTTTCTTATATTATTCATGGTTATAATGCTGCACTACCATTAACCGCCCTTTTTTGCTTACTTCTTTTTTGTGTTTTCAAAGGTTTTTGACAATTATGCCGTGACAGTGATGATCGGCGGAGAGCCGTATACGCTCGGCCTTTTTGACACAGCTGGTAAGCTGGTCTTCGAAAGTCTCTCAGTTTCACTTTTTCTCTCTCATTTCTGTCAGTCTAAAACCTTTGGAAAAAAAATGTCCTTGTTCTGCTTCTCTTTTGATTGCTGCTCTCAGGTCAGGAAGATTATGACAGGCTGCGTCCTCTCAGTTACCCACAGACAGATGTGTTCCTTGTATGTTTCTCTGTTGTTTCACCCTCGTCGTATGAAAATGTCAAAGAGAAGGTCAGTTTTGAAATCTCTTTTCACTGTTTTGGGAACAGAGATGTTGACTATTTTTTGTTAAATGTGTTGGCAGACTTACACTGGTCACTTTGTTTTATTCATAATCTATAATCAGCCAATCATGTTGCAACTTAGTACCTTTAGGCATTTAGACATGGTCAAGATAACTGGCTGAAGTTGAAACTGAGCATCAGACTTGGGGGGGAAAAGGTTAAGGATTTAAATGGCTTCAAACATGGTCTGAGCATTTCAGAAACTGACGATCTACTGAGATTTTCCACACACAACCATCTATAGAGTTTATAGAGAATGGACTGAAAAAGAGAAAATATTCAGTTGGCAGCAGTTCTCTGGGGGGAAATGCCGTGTTGATGCGAGAGGTCACAGGAGAATGACCACACTGACAGGAAGGCAACGGGAATGCAAATAACCTCTTGTTGCAACAAAGGTATACAGAAGAGCATCTCTGAATGCACAACATGTTGAACCTTGAAGCAGATAGGCTGCAGCAGCAGCAGAAAACCACACCGGGTGCTACCCCTGTCAGCTAAGAACAGGAAACCGAGGTTACAGATTGCATCTGCTCACCAAAATTGGACAACAGAAGGTTGGAAAAACGTCGCCTGGTTGGACGAGTTTCAATTTCTGCAACAACATTCAGATGGTAGGGTCAGAATTTGGCATAAACAGCATGGAAACATGGATCCATCCTGCCTTGTATCAGTCGTTCAGGCTGTTGGCGTAACAGAGTGAGGCACATTTTGGGGCCTTTAGTACCAACTAACCAAGCATCGTTAAACACCACAGTCTCCATCTCTTTATATAAGCAGTGTCCCCATCTTCTGATGGCTGCTCCACCAGGATAACGTGCCGTGTCACAAAGCTGTAATCATCTCAAACTGGTTTCTTGAACACTAGAGTGAGTAGACTGTACTCAAATGGGCTCCACAGTCACTAGGTCTCAAATAGAGCACCTATGGGATGAGGTGGAATGGGAGATTCACATCATGGATGTGCAGCCATTAAAACTGCAGCAACTCTGTGATGCTGTCATATCAATATGAACTAAAATCTCTGAGGAATGTTTGATGCATGTGGAGTTGAGGCAGTTCCAAATGCAAAAGGGGGTCCAACCAGGTACTCGCAAGGGGAATCTGATTAAGTGGCCAGTAAGCGTATAGATCTAAAAATAATGATTATTTTTAAAGATCTCCTGTTCATTTTCTCTAGCTAGCCGAATGCTTATATTTAAATAATTTTGTATGTAATAGAGTGAAGAAAGTGCCGTAGTTTTCTAAATTTGACACACGTTCAAGAGCCACTTGCTCAAAATAGTGAAGTTTTCACTGTGTTCTTATGATCATCCTGATGTCCTTTCTGCTTGGACTGCTTGGAATTTTAATAATTGTTTTAATTGTCGTCCTTATTCTCAATAAATGTCACATGGAAGAAAAAGCCTCCTGCTTCCTCAGTTTCTCTACAATCTCACCGTTTTACATGCCAGACATTTTATTACACATTATTTTCTATGAAATGAAAAATATGAATCAGAAACTATTTGGATTAAAGGAAAAGCATACCAGCTTTTGATAGTCGCAAATTTCATTGGGTATCTAAGATAAACTTTGTCTTTTTGTCTGCATCCAGTGGGTCCCTGAGATTTCACACCACTGCCCAAGCACCCCTTTCCTGTTAGTGGGGACACAGGTAGACTTGCGGGAAGACAGCAACACGGTGGAGAAGCTGGCAAAGAACAAACAGCGCCCTTTATTACCCGAGAGCGGCGAGAAGCTGTCTCGTGAGCTCAAGGCTGTTAAGTACGTGGAGTGCTCTGCCCTCACACAGGTATGTAAAATCTCACTACACTTTTAAAACGTATTTAAAAAGTGACAGATTTGTTTGAAATAGAAAGTTATGCTTCCTTCTGTTATGCTTCCGTCATCTTTTCCTCTTCTTCTTCTTTAACCAGCGAGGACTTAAAAACGTGTTTGACGAGGCCATACTGGCAGCTTTGGAGCCCCCCGAGACCAAAACAAAGAAGAGGTGTGCTCTGCTATAGAACAGTGCTGACCGCGAGATGCAAAACGGTGCATATAGAAAAAATAGGTGGGATGATTGAAAACATCATAAAGATTAGTGGCCATTTTGACAAAAAACAAAAAAAAATCCCAAAAAACAAAGGACAAAACCAAAGGGGAAGGGACGGTACCGTGGCATCGAAATGTATTTCGGTACACACGTACACTGATTGTGCCTTCAAAATAAAAGCTGAAACAGGCTGAGGATTCAAAGTATCAGATGTGCAGTGAATGCAGTTTAAGCACCAACTGTGTCCTTCTCTGAAACCTTTAGAAATCGCAGTGTTCTCTCTATAAATATGCAGGTGGGGCAGGCCCCCCCTTGCCTGTCACTGTTTTTTTTTTTTTTCCCCCCAAAGAAATGTTCATTTATAAACTTGACATTGGCCTCTTCCTGTGTTTTACTTACTGTGGCCTACTGGGTCCTTTAAACTCAGTATAGGGAAGTATAAAAGGGGAAATACTTCAGTTACATTTAACATTAGTACGTTTAAGGGGGCAACTTGATGTTAAGTGGTACTCTACTTGCTTTCTTTTCCGACCTTCCTCAGTTGAATAATGTCAAAAAACTAAACATTTGCTGTCACTCCAAACAAAAGCAGTTGTCTGTAACGGTTACTTTCTTCTAACTAGTGGTGACTTGCAGGGATGAAAAGTGTTTTCACCAAGTTCCCTTATCCAGGTTACTTATGAGTTTCTGTTTTCTTTTTTGTGTATATTGTAATTTCACAATGCTGTTTTGGGAAAATTTCAGCATTTTTTTTAATTATTTTTTTTCCCATTTTGAAACTTGAGTTGTTGTTTTTCGTTTTGTTTTTTTAATTGCAAGACCTCCAACATTTGAGCGAATGATGAGAAGATTCAAGTTGTAATATTTTTAATGGCTCTTGAGAAGATGAACTTTTTCTAGTCAATTTCTGGGTGTTTGTAATCACAGGATATTTTTAATAAAATGGTTGAGCTCAAATGAAATGTAATCGTTGTTTTGTGTGTTTGAAGGCAAAAGACTGAATTCGAAAGTATTACAGAGTTTAAGGGCGTGATCACACAAGTCACACTTGCCTCTGCACTTGCACTGTGTTAATGATCTGGGCCTGAGTATGCTTCTCTCACATGCTCCCACTGTCACAAACACTTGCTCTACCAGAGCACAATGAGCGTCGTAATTTTATGCATTTTGTTGTTTATTTTTAGATCTTCTTAAAAGCTGCAGCATGATCAGTTGAGGAAGCGTAAGGTATCCAGTGAAGTGGAAAAAAAAATCCCTCCAAACCTACCTGGTCTTATTTGAAAAAACTGCCCCCTAAACCTAGTAACTGGTTGTGTCACCCTCGGCAGCTAGAATTGCAATCAAGCGTTTTTGATATATGACAATCAGTCTTTCACATTGATGAGGAGGAATATTGTCCCAATCTTCACAGCAGAATTGTTTGAATTCAGCCACATTGGAGGATTTTCGAGTATGAACGGCCTGTTTCAGGTCGAAATGACAAAGCATCTTAAATGGATTTGGAGGACTTGAGCCATGCAGCCAATCCAGATAAGGATTAAAGGATTGTTAACATGACGCCAGGTAGGTGGTGATTTCTCTGACTGCAAAAAGAAGTTCAGTTGTTTACAAGTCAATAGGAAAACAGCGCCCTTGATCTATGACGTCAATAACCACTTTCCTGATGAGTTTATGAGCTCGGTCGCTGGTTTCAAGTCTTACAGAAAACAACATGATGCTTATTGTGTAAATTATGGCTCCTATTAGATTAAAAACATGATTAAGCTGCGCATGTTTTAGGGCAAGGCTTTGTGATTGAAAAGTTGCTTTAAGTGGGCAGGGTTTGAGAGTCACATGATGTAAGAGGACTCCACAAATCAATGAGTGAGATCTCTTTTTTTTATATAAAGTCTACTAGCAATGACAGTCTGACAGTTACTGAGTTTCACTGTAGGTTTTAAATAATAAATCAATCAATGGTATAGTCATGCAAAACTAAACATGTACAGGGACCTGCAACTACAACTTCTGTTCCAAACAGTCTCACAGGGTACCATTCAATAAAGAAGCACTTTGGTATTTTTTTTTTTAATAAACTACTCTATTTATTAGAAACTCAAAAAGACCTAAACGCACTGATTGTGCAGGAAACAGAACAGTTTCATACAAGGACGAGGGACAAAAACACAAGACATGGAAGTAAGTGCAGCAAAGACTCTGATATACAAATAAATAAACCAGAATCAAAAAGAAGACATAAATACAGTACAAGTCCAAAGACGTGCTAGCCTATAACAGAATACAAGATAAAAGAAATCTTCAGTGTTTGAGAGTTAGTTTGGGTTAAGCTCTGCTTTAAAAGCTTTGTCAGTTCAGCGTGTGATTAACTGCTGTGTTTGTGTGTGTTCATGGCTACACCTGTATGCATGTCTGTGCCTGTCAGTTTGTCTGTCTTAATATTTTGAGCAGTTTAAAAGCTGAGCAGACTTTTTTTTTTTTGTACTTCCCGATGGAGCTTTGTCTTTACATTAGTTCTAATTTTGCAGTTTTTACAAGAAAACAATCAAACCAAACTGCAGTTTCACTTCTCTAAGGGAAAACGTGGACAAAGAAAGGCTGCTTTGGACAATAATTACGATAATTTGGTGTCAAAGTTAACCCGCGCTGTGTCCAGCGGTGTCTGTCTGGTGGTTGGTTAGGATCTGGGCTCATTTGGTCAGGCCTTATTAGGACTTCTTACACTCTACAGGTATGAATGGTGACCGTATTCTTGCACTGCTGGCAACGCACCGAGCAGCACCAGGAAAACTTGCAGGAGCAGCGCTGCACCACCTCAGCCCGGCCTGCTTTGTAGCCTGGCCCGCAACACACCAGCTCGCAACCATCTGGTGCCAGCCGAGACGTTCCTGGGGGGAGGGGGGTTGGTTCAAAACATTGCAACATCACTTTCTAAATTGATATGAGTGGTAAGTTGGATTATGTCAATTATTTTCCTGTGACGTGGTCCTGGTGATCTTACCGTTACATCTTCTACCTGCAGTCCCAGGAATACCATTTTCAGGGTCGAGACGGCAGAAATCTGGGGAGGGTGCAAGATACACAAGATCTCTGGCAGCAGGGGGTTTGACCTGTGAGTCTCGGGGGAGCAAGGCTGTCCTGGAGCCTATACGTGTCAGGCGGACCTGGGAGGATTGTGACATTAAAACACAGTAATGTATACTGTAATAATACTGACTACTAAACACGGTCAACGTTTTTAAAATATGTGGTCAGCTTATGCAGAAGTGATCCAAAAGCTCACAGCTTATTTTAGACTGTTTTCCTTCTCTTGGCTACTTCTGATGTCAAAGATAATATCCTTAACCCTTTAAAGCCTGAACCATGAAATAATTGCCAGGAAATTCAATTTTTCTGAAAATGGAGTGCTTATTGAACATTCTGACAATTTTTAAAAAAATTAATCATATTTGATACATTGGCATTTTTTTTTTTTTTTTTGCAATTTACTACATAAAAATGTATTGGGCCCGAATTATTTAGTTTCTGTGGGGACAAAAATCACACTGATGATCGATAGATCTCTAAAACTCAAGAATTTGAGGCACTTGGTGTTACAAGGTTAATATGGTAATCCCGAGCACACAGCTCTGGCTTTCAGGAAAGTAGCCCCAAAACTTGATGTTTAAACCTTCTGTTTGCAAGGAGCAGCCAATCAGAAAAAAACTGATTTAAGAGGAGGGAAGTTAAATTGCTTTTAACCCCCATATTTCATGAGATGATGAGCTGAGGGCTTGCAACAATCAACAAGATAAATAAAGATTTATTTTGAGATGTGAATCATATAAAACTACTGTAGCAAGGTCCAAAAATACAAACATGGAGCTGAAAAAGCATAACACGTTCATTTCGAGATGTTTCAGCGGAAATTGTAGTTTTTTTCTGATAAATAATTTACTTCAGCTGTTGTGACGTCTGCTCACCCCATTAAGCTAGGGAAGATAAAACAAGCAGAAGGTATCATCTGTTACCTCTGTGGCTCCATCAAAACGTTCCTTGAGCACAACGCCCACACGCCTGAATGGGGGCATGACCTTCCAGCAGGTCCTCAGCTCACAGGACCCAGACACACCGTGACATTTACACTCAACCTGCATGTTATGAAGGATGGCCTGAGGAGGAGATAATTATAAAGGACAAAAAAATTCTGTAAATTGACACAGGGATTTGGAAATCTGTAAGGACATTGGTGATGTTGCTAACCTTTCGACCCGCCTCGTTGTTGTGGAGGTTCATGAGCGGCCGGCCTGCTGACAGCCCCTTGGCTCGCTCCGGTTCATCCACAAATGTCTGAGAGAAAGCCACACCATAGGACAGGTTGTCACTGCACCCTGACCACTGGAAACCTGTGGTGGAACGAGGCTTAGATTAAGATGATCTGTGTTACTGCGATTTTGTAAGGTCAAAGAAGGTTAGATGTTAAATGGAAAATCCCATCTGGTTCATGTGAGGCAGGGGGCAGCTGCTACAGTCTCACAGCACAGGTGTGTTACATGTGACAGCAGATGGGAAACTACCAGCTGACATTACTGCTGCATACTTTAGACCCACAATCAGCACTGTAGCAGCCTTTCTATGCTCTGTGTGAGTCAGAGTCGATTTACTCACTATATTTTCATGGAATAGAGTTAAAGCTCACCCTCCGGGCTGACCCCCCTGACCTTCCTGTCACAGCCACACCTCTCCAGCTCCCCACGGGTGCAGGCTCGGGTCACCGCAACCGCCACAGCTGCTGAGGACAGAGCGTGCACAAAGGCTGCCTCACGAGTGCCTGAAACCACAGCAGAGACATGACACAACTTTATTTTTAGAGAATATTTATAAATGTTGCTCAGTGAATCGAGGTTTCCTCAGAAAATTCACTAACTTCATGCCAGTAATGGGTCTACCTTGGTTCATCACTCTGCCAAATACATTGATCCCACGTGGGGTGATGGAACAATTCCAGCGGCGATTCCTGAACTGGTGCTGGCACTGAATTGGACAGCGAGTTACACACCAGGTATGTAAAAGTTTCCATCTCTGCCACACATAATGGTGATTGTTATTTAAATCACTCAGAAGTTATGCTTCATACCTCTTCTATGACCATCTCTGCTGCCTTGCGTACAGACTCCATGACCTCCCCCCGTGCTCTGCACACCCCCACCTGGCCTGGGGTCAGCCCCCTCAGCCGTGCACATGGGGCAGCACCAGACACAGGCCGGGAACGGGGCAGCCTCGCCAGGGAGCTGGGACATAAAAAGGGAAGGTGGAGGAGTGATTCACAGCAAGTACGTGGGGGAAGATGCATATTTAAGTACAAGGCTGGGGCCTTTAAAAGAGTGACAGAAAGATGAAAAGGTAACAAATAGAGAGGATGAAAACAAGGAGACAAACAGGCAAAGAAGACACGGAGGGCACAGTGAAGGCAGGGAGAGAGAGAAAAGAGAAAAGGTCATCAGGAGCGAGACAAAGAAAAGAGGGGAGCGACTGAAAGAGATTTAGTGACATGTCACCACCTTTTAAAAGTTATAGCATGACAAACAAACTCCCTCTTTCTCATCCTCCTTCACACACTAGACTTACAGCCAATTGGTTGCCATGGTGGGGTGGGTTGCCCATAGCAACAGGAGGAGGAGTGGTGCCGTGAGATTGACAGTGGAGACAGTTGGCATCAGACTGTCTGTCTGTCTGTCCGTCTCCGTGCGTCAGGCTGGGTCTTTGGGTCCACAGCTGAAGTGATCACTCCGTCCGTCTGTGTGTTTGTTGCCGTTTAAGTTTAAAGTCCAAAGTCTGGGGATGATCCCCACATATCTGTTGAAATCACAAGTTAGCAGGTTAACGATGAATGCAGAGATGCTCTGCATGGTATTTTGGTCAAGTAAACAATAAATTCCTCATTAGTTTTCTAATGATAAGGTTTATGCAAGTTACTGGTGTTCGAAGTTAAGTCTGTATATGCAGTTTATCATTTTGTAGCAAATAAAACCACAAAATTACTGCGTTATACTCGTGAAATTTTCTTCAGGTTGCAAGAGTTTTAAAATTGATTCTTACCAGTTGATATTTTTGTGATAGCCAGTTATTCTTCTTTTTGTTACTGAGTGGACAGAATTTCAAAATGAATCACAATTTTATTCACCAAAGCTGCTCTTCAGCTTCTCTCTATTGTTGCCAATAAAAGCATACTTACATGACTGTTTCACAAACTCATCCTTGATGCACAAAAAGACGTCCATATGTCCGTTTTCAGTCTGAATTCACCCCCAAAAACAAGAACCTAAAATCCAGAAACACTAATAAAAGTCACTTTTTATTAGTCAGGCAAACAGTAGCACGGTGTCATCTTATGGTTAGTTCTTTCCCGGGAAAACAAATGTGTCCATTGCGAGTTGAAAAAGCAAGAATGAGTGAGGGCAGTGAGCTGGGAGTGATGGGTTATAAAGGAGGTAGAGAGTGAGGCTGGGAGAGAGAGGACATCCAGGGTGTGGAGTGATGCTGAGGGAGGAGGGTTTGGAAAAGGGTCATTGTTTTACTACGCAAGCATTACAAGCGTAAGTATGCCCTCTATTGTGTTAATCTGGCATGAAAACTAAAGTCTGAGCCTGGGCTGGTACCTGGACTGAAATCACAAATGTGGTTATGTGCATACATGCCTGAACACATGTATGAACATATATATATGATTTATATCAGAGAAACTTATGAGAACTCCAACTCCAACCTGTTTGTTTCAATAAACTTTTCTGCAAAATCCTCTTGTCAGTGACTGAAACGCAGCACTTCCAGTTCCACATATATGTACACGCATGTGAGAAAGTGTCTTACCTAATGTGTAATTTTCCCAAACTTTGTTGCTCATTTTACGAGTCCAGCTCTCCCCCCTACTTTTCCTCTATGTCCCCCACATTTGCCCTCTCGTTCTCCTTCTCTCTCACTCCCTATATTGTCTTAGAAGAAGGGGTGACATTTAGACAAGGGGAAGAAAACAGACTGCCGACAAATATTGGAACTAAGGCAAATAAATCACAAGAAGGGAGGGCACGAGGACAGAGCGGATCAGTGTCACACGGGGGATTGGGAAAAGCAATAAAGAATAATAAACCAGGTTGGTGGTATATGAACTGAAGACCAAATTCTCAATCAAATTATCCACGTGAACATAGATTTTCTGGAGAATTTGAAATACCCTAAAATTTTTTATTGATTAATGCATGTTGGCTGTTTAGCACAGAAAAACAAGAACATGAGATAAACTGTACAGCAATTTTTTTAAAGAATATTTATCGCTGCATATATTTTCATTTTTTATTTTGTAGTATTCCCTCCCTTTCTCTCCTTCAAACCAGTCATAGCAATACTGGAAGAAATCCAGATGTACCTTCAGTGTTTTAAAAATTTGTGTTTCCTTTAGATTTAAGCTACTTTTGGGACCTATTCCAGTCTTATAACACACTGAAACAACCAGAAGAAGCATGTAAATTATGACTATTTCATTCCCCATATTTATGGTTTTTACTGAATAATGTAAGGTCTTTAAGGCCTACTAAGTCAAACTGTAAAAGATATAAGAAAATAAAGTTTTATTGACCTATATTTTTTCCTCAGTTGCCCGCTTCCCTCGGGAAAAGAAAAATCAGGTTGTCACAAGATCAGTAAAATGTCAGTAAATGTGCTGTTTCAGCTTTCTTGAGCATCAGAACTCGTAAATTAATATAGCTCATAAATGTATTAAACGATCAGTATATGATTATGATATGAATAAAACATGACCTTTAAATGCAGCTTAATTGCACATAATCACACAAATTCCACTTCAACCAGAATCCTAAACCAGAAATCTGGTTCTGTTGTTCTGCTAATCTAGGCTAGTTAGCATAGAAAGTAGTTTTGTATTACAGTTTCCTCTGTTATGATGAGATTCAGCTGATGTCCAACAAAGTAAATGAGAAGCATCAACGTGACTTTTAAAGGTAAATTAGCTACACGGTGAAACTTGCAGCTACGTCACCAGCTAACTATAACCAGATGGTGGTAAATGCAGTTTTTTAAAATTCAGAGTTTAAATGTTTAATTTAGGTCCTGATTTCCACATATTCTGACATCACTGATGTCTGATGGTAATTTTTCTTGATTTTAAAGTTGAAATTTAACTTCAAAGACTATAAATTAACATATGTGCCACAGTCTTGTGACACTTAATGAAACCCCATTTGCTCATCTTAGAGGCTCATGTGTTGAATCAGTCAGTGCGTCACTGAAGCCAAACATTTGCAGACTCAAATGTTGGGAGTCCTCGTCTAAGATTTGGTGGCCCATCTACCTGACACCCAGAGTAAATGGTCACCCATCTCTCTTGCACACTTTCCTCTGTGTGTATCAGCAAAGACAGGTCTCCTCGAGGCTCCCTTCCCTCCTTTTTTAGTCTTCCACATCTCGTATTACTCCTTTGTGTCCCCTGTTTCTCCAAGTGACGTCTTCTGCTGTCTCCCACAGCAACACCATGGAGATGAGCTGGCCACTGTCATGTCCGGCGCCTCTGTTATGCTCGTCCCTTCACCCCTCTCTCGTAAATAACCTGCCCTCTTTTTTTTTATCTTTATCTTTCCCCCATTTTGTGGACATTTTATCATTCTGAAATGGTCCCACACTGATTGACTGTAGCCAGGTTGCAAAGCCTAAAGAGATGCTTGTTAAAGCTTCAGCATGACATATATGTGGAGATGAGTTGCTTTCCCTCTGTTAAAGTGGGAGACAGCAGCAGACTTTGAGAGACAACTCTTAACTGATCTCACTTTGTCCACTGATTCTTACCATTGGGATGGATGATTGGCCTCATTCGGACAGGGCTGCCTCAGGGTGAGTCTAGACTTCACG